ATTTGATCTGGAATATGTTGAAACATTTCGCTTACTCTGTATTTAGAAATTCAACTTCTGAGCTGTGCCAATATTTGAATACTTGAATTCGAGTGATTGAAAACCATAAGTCGGATGATTTGGTCATTTAAATATTGTTTGAAAATGTTGTTTAGTATTTGGTTGTTCACGTTTCCTTATGCCTTCAAAAAAAATTGTTTCTTCAATATTCTTGTTCAACAAAATTCTTTGGCCATTACAGCTGCATGACAGGACTTTCGCAACTCAGAGAGCGGGGATGAAGGTGAGAAATTCTACTCTATCGAGCTTAGGGAAGCGAGAGAAGCTGTTGCGCAGCACAATTATGCCTGCGCCCGGCCTCGCTAATACAGGGCGCGGCTGTGAGCGGCTGCCTGGGTATCAGTTGACACTGACCCTCGCCATCAAGGTGGTTGCCCACTTACCATTTGTCGTACTTACTGTGGTTAATGGCAGGGGTTTTCTGTTTGCTCGCATCACTGCTCGTTTTTTGACTGCTCTTCGAATATGCAGGCATAGGGAAATTTGTAGAAAAGCACGGTTTCGCAAACCCTGTCAAAAGAAAAACTTGTCTCGAACTGAAGAGAACATAAGTGAAGTAAGCTTAGAAACTGAATAATGATCAATTTGGGGTGCGGATAGAAGGCTTCCGCCTAAGTGGTTAAATGGCTCGTGTTAAACTGAAGATGATTTTTGAAGTGAAAAGTTTGGGTGAGGTTGAATGACTTTTGTACGAGCTTGAACGTAGCAGGTTGGGGTAATTGGGTGTCAATGTTAGTGATGGACTTGCATTGAAGAGATTAGCAACATACACAGAGAAATTTGATTTAGTCTATATAAGCCAACTTTTTATGCAGTCAACATTAGTCTGTTTTCTTCTACTTCAAAATACTTTCTGAAGACGGTCGAAGCGTCGAGCTGGGCTAGATTCAAGTTTTGATGGAATGGAGGAGTACGAACAGGATTATCAGTGTAGAGCTTTTTCCACAATCAAGGGAAAATTTCCTGGTCAATCTTTGTTTTTTTCCTAACCTAAGGATCTTGCCACTAATGAACACGCGCTAAAAATTTTATGCAGAATTTGATTAGTCTGTTACCAAGCGGAATTCTCGGGCAGTAAGAATCAAGAAACAAAGGGATGAAAATTAACTTTTCTCAAATAAATTACATCACATTTTCCGGGCTCACCTAAAGTGGCGCTGGCTATCCAAAATCCAGATTTCAGATGGTTTGATTGCTGGATGAAGATATGCTCGTAGATAAAAAGAATTTTTTTAGTCTTAGCCGTATCAGCCAGATATCTCTTTTCAATGTAGGGATTTTGGTGATTTTAAATCCTGAATCCGAAGATGCTAACACGTTGAATGCGTTCTTTCTTATCTGCCATGGATAAAGGCCGGTAAAATGTTTCCTTCATTTTTATTTTAAGTGACTGGCAGTCTAAACAACTTTGTGGCAACCTATGTCTTGTTCTGCAAATATTATGGAAATCCTGCGGGTATTTGAGCGAAGTGATGGTTAATGGCCAAAAAACATAACTCGACCGTATTTGAACGGCATTGACTATCACTGCAAAAAGTGAAAAGAATTTTTTCGATTAGTCCGCTTACGTTCATAAAAAAGCGACTTCTAATAAACAGAGCGCTAACAGCACAAAGGATGAAAAGTGTTAGATTTATTGGTAGAAAAAGCATAGTTCCGTAACAATTTTTTCCCAAATAATTTTTGCTTGAACTAAACCCATCGCGCTGGTGTCAAAGTAGAGATGGTTAGAAATAAGTCTAGTGCAGTATCTTCTTTCATAATCTCAGAATCAAGAATTTTCTGATTACCTCATATGGGTTATATGGTGAATTCTTTTTTAAGCAAGCGTAAAATTAGAATGAGCCATAGAAAGGATCACAAAGCATATTTTTCTTTAATGGCCTTTTAGGTAAGAACTGTGGGAAGTTTGCCTGTTTTTCTAGGTCTTTCCATAGAGAATATCATAACATTGGCAGAATTATTATGATGAAAACCTGCCTCCCAAGTTATTCGATTTCGGGGTGCGACCTGTTCTAGCCCAGACGTCCATCGTGGCTAATGGGTGTGTGCCCTTTAGAACCGCTCTGACCCAGCGACGATAGGCCTGCTCCACCGCCACTGAGGAGCGCGCGTGCGGTGCGTGCTTGGCACCGCCCAGAATGGACGAGCTGTCTGCCCAACATTTTCCACTATCTTTTCAAAAGTTGTTTTTGCTCTTATTCGTCCAATTTACGTCTGATTGATCTGATATCACCATATTCTGACTGCTGATATTCTGCTAAGCAATTCTATTGTATACTACTTGGATCCTGTTCTTTAAGCTTGTTCTCATGGTTTATGTGACATGAGCCTTGCTTAGAGATCTAGAACTTCCAAAAACTATTCTAATACTATTCTGCTGTATTCCTATTCACTATTCTATGCTACCGCTAGACTTTTATTCGATTGGAATGCGTCGGTAAGTACTAAAAGGTTTTGTGTCATATGTTAAGTTTAGTTTGTTTCTCCATTGTTGATTCTTACATCATGCTTCATGCAAGATTGTTCCATAACTCCACGCACGTTGTCATGACTAAGACATGAACCTTGCGTAAAGAGCTAGAACAATCAAGCTATGCATGAATTATCTTCTCCTACCATGATTTGACACTATTCATTTCGCACTTCTACTGTAATGTGCATCTAGGTCAGAGGTGTACATTTCTTAATGCCTTTGGGAGGTTTATGACGTGCGAAAGTCTCACCGTGCCAAGCAGAAGCATATAAAAAGGGTACTTAAACAGTATGATTAGCATAATCTTTGTTTGCTTTCGAGTCATCATGCTTTCTCACAAGTTTTACATTGTTCGTCATGTTCAAAATGCTTCTACCCCGCAAGCTACCTTGCGCCCTCTCCTTCCGCGTCCAGCTCCTACCCAGCTTGTGGTTCAAGCCCGCGCACGTCTTTGTGCAAAAAATAATGCCAACAAATCCTCTTTTGATGCAATCTCCAGCTCCTCAAAGGCTTCTGATGGAAACACAAGCGTCCGATAGGCTTCTTTTGCAAAAGCCGCAGCCGAATAGCCTTCTCGTACAAACTTCGGAGGCTTCCACACCTTTGACAGCACAATCAAGCTTCAGCTTCTCAAGCCCAGTACCAGCGCAGCCTCCACAATCACCTCCATCTAGCTACACCTTCTCAAGCCCAGTACCAACGCAGCCTTCTAGTAGCGTATCCAAATTCTATGCAAATTCTGCAAGGCCTTCAAGTGCATGTACTGTGCTAAAGCAGGATATCACACTCAAGTAGATGTAAGTTATCTACAACGTAGATGTAATGTCCACCCTTGTGCTCTAGGTTTGAGGATTAGGTAAAAAATATGAATTAAAAAAGATTATAAATGATAAAGACATCAAAACAACTAGTATATGAGAGCATTGGAAGATAAGAGCAAGACAAACGAAAAAAGAACCAAAAAAAGGATACTGTGAGCTAAAATAGTAATTTCTCATCAAGTTTCCGCCAAATCTCTGATTTTGGCAAAATGTCAAGACTCTAAGGCGTAATGCGTCCAAAAGTATACGAAGGTGTGCGGCAAAAACTCGTCCAATTCTGTAGGTCTGGCGTCTCTCACGGCTAGGCGGCTCTCTCGCCTTGCCAGTCGCTGCCGCGGCCTCGACCAATCAGGGTGTGGGTCAGGAGTCACGATTTGCGCGAATTTTTCGCGAAGCGATCTCCTACGCGGCGAGAATTTGGTTCGAGGCTGTACGAGTTCCCGGTATTGAAGGACTCCTCACCGCTGGCGATAGAGCATGTTTCTTATCAGAGAGCAATGGAGCGAGGGGCTGCGGGTCAGGAGTCACACCGCACGCGGCGATTCTGCGGAGAGCGAAAAGTTTTTCAACGGGCAAACCGTCGCTTCGCGGCGTTATTGCAGCATGCGGCGTGACTCCTGGCCCGTTCCGCATACCTACATACACGGTTGTATCGGCTATTCATTTCTTCCCATTCCATCGGTGAACTGGTTTTTAATCATGATTTCACATCACTGTTAAAGTTATGTTCCGGAATATAATCCTCAATTTGATATCTAAATCTAGGAAGACTTAGATTTCAAATTGGCTAGTGGTACTTCCTTCTTTCTGCGAAGAATGCATAAAATGAGTTTTCAGTTCGTCCAAAGTGACGTTGCATAAGTTATTGTTTCCATTCTACAGTAACACCATTTTACGCGTTTGATACTATCCTGTTGAAATTGCCACCAACGGTTACCATTTATTACTTGGAAGACGGTTGTTTCCTCTCTGCCATGAACTGGCAGAGAGAGGGCGAACAACTCAAATAATTCGGCAGAATTATTGAAATTGCAAAAGTGGTTAGTCAGCTAGACATCTGATTGACATTCTCACGAATGATCAATTGTTCAACAATTTCATTCTAACTGCCAAAACGCAGCTTCCACTGGGTTAGACAATACAAACACTTCGCAAATCCTGAACATGAAGCATGAAATCATTCTTTACACTGAACCGGATCCTTGTGGACCATAAGCTCGTCATCTGACGAACTAATCGACAGGAAAATTCAATACTGCCACCAAAGATAAACGAACAGGTTAGGCAATCGAACAACAAGGAAACAAATCCGATACAAATAGAAACTCTGACTTTTCTCAAACCACGTACCCATATTCCAACGTATAATATCATTAATTTCAACAACCTAGTGTATAAGGACTTTAACGCAGAGCTGCGCTTATGAGTCACATCAATTCTACATAAAATGACCGAGAAAGTAGAAGTATTGTTCAAGCTTGAGAGAGATCCAGAATAAACAGGGCTCGTACAAAGATGAAAGCAAGGTACGAATTTTCTCAAAACAAAGATAAAACTAAGGTCGATAGTGCCGGCAGATCAAAAAACGTGACCATTCAAGAAACTTAGCCGGTTGACTTGCGCTTCAAAGCACTTGCAAGCAGCTAATTCAAAGTTTCGTTGTCAATTTTCTCTTCTTTCCACTCCACAGAGCCCGATCCACGCGATGTTTCGTCACTCCTGTAGAAGAGAGATGCTATATCAGTAGTAGATATCTAGCTATGACTCACCTCGATTTGGCCTTTGATTCCCTTTGTGACAGCTTTTTTCGTGCCAGGGTGTGAATATCAACCTAAAATGGAGAATGATCAAAAATGATAACCTGACACTGTGGGAAAGTGAAATATACCTTCACAGTGTCTTTACTGATAAATTTGGTCACAAACACCCTCCTTCTGACTTAAACCGTGGCATCGATCTTCTGTATACAACAAAAATGAAAAAAATTTGAAAATTTGCTCGATGTTCCCATGAACTTAATCCCTTTCTAAATATGTAAGCACTGGCAAAAATTAGCATCATTTTCAAATAAACAAAATTTTATAGTTTCTCGTCAAATCATTGACAAAAAGAATGATCCAAACCTGCTTTATGGATTGAAGTCGATGTATGTAGAATTACGTGGTATGCAGAAGTCAAATTTATTCCAAGTCGCCATGCACGAATCGGCAAAAGAAACACAAAAATATCATCATCGTTGTTGAACTCAACGATCATCTCTTGCCTGAAAAGAGATAAAAAATTCTAATCAACTAGACATCCTGTGTACGCTAACCTTTCCATCACCGGTGTTGACCCATCCCCGTTTCTATGTACATAGCCTCGTATTCGCATATAAACTTTCAGTTGAGAAGTTGAGAGGCTCCTATGACGACGTTCACCTGGACATTAATAGCTCAATGTAAAATTGTATCGATATGAAGTTATGTTAACTTGTCAAGGCTGCTGATGATATTTAGTCGAACTTCGGCCGTGCTGTCTTTCAGTAATTGCATGTATATAGGTAACAACTGCGATATCGTGTTTTCCTTGCCAACAAGTGGAGCGATAACCATGATGACACCAGCAAGCTAAGTTTTGATATGCTAGAAAATCTCAGTTACGAGTAAGATAAAGTAGGAGATAGTACTTTATGTCATACCTGATTTAGATCAGTGACTAATTCTTTGACTAAGGGTAAGATAATATTCAAAATTGCAGATTCTCTCGCGCTTTTCTTCAAATTCGCACAAAATGCTGAAATGCTATAATCAATGGAGAGGGTTGTTATAGAAAAACAAGGTATTGCTCAGATACAGCTATACTAAGGCTCGAAATCAATAAAAAATACTAGGACAAAAACAAGGAAAAAACAAGGACAACAACGACTCACCTATTCTATGACCTTTGGTACCAGTTTATCTAATATCCGACATTTAAGGGACTATCATGCCAAGCCTCCCCTTACGAAGGATTTCTTTGTGCTGCTGTACATCTCGCATATTTGGTGGATTTGGAAATCAGACTGACAAAAAAAGATCTTCAGCAAATCCTCCCATTTCCTCTTCTCATAGGGAGGGTTAAAAGACACGGTGGAACCATGTCTTTTCGAAAAAGACCCAGAAGAATCCTTGTTTAGGCTGACCTTCGTGCACAGCGTCTTTGCGAGCTTATCTATAAGCGAATCTGTATATTGAACCCGTCTCAAAAGAGGATGATTTGCAGCTTGTCTAGACCCAATCAAAGCTCCATAGCATTATATGTATCACCGTCAAAACCGTTAAGACTAAAAAGTAATATAGAAAACGAAAACAAAAGGCAGAATTCAAAAAACAAACAAAATAAGAACTCAAACTTGAACTCAAAACAATTATTTTTGATGTCATGTTCACTACGCATATCTCTTTTTTTTTCAGAGATCTCTTTTGTGCGCTACTACGCGCTAAAAATGCAGCCCGATAGACATAATTTTCTTCCTAAAATATGCACATACGACAACAGTATCAAAGACAGAATCCTGATCTAATTCCTCCAGAGCCAGAAAGCGTACTGCGCTGCAAAGACATTGTCAGAAGTGACACACCTGTCAAATACTGCTTTACTCACGCAACTCTTTTGACATGTACTTCATCGCGATTTAAGTGCTGGCTGCAATTCATATATCGGAGTTCCACTCCTCCTCGCTGTGACTGTGAAAGAGTTTTGCACACCGACTTCCCCAAAATTGCGGTGATCCAGTTCATGCCAGGTGATGGAGGTCAGATGATCTATATCACCAAACGTTATGCCTCGAGTATATAATGCGCAAAGAAGATGTACTCATCGCCCATCAACATCTGGCAATGGTATTAATCAGTCTTTGATTGCAAAATGAACCAAATCAAAGAGTTAACCTTATCTTCTCATAGCTCCCCGTAGACGGACATAATTCGCTGTACGATGGCTCATTGTATCCATAAAATGCATGGCTGGCAAAACTAAGGTCCCTAGATGAATAGATTCGGTACTGCCATTACCTTCATTGACGTATGAGTTCAGAAGAATAGGTGTTACTCACCCATAAACTCTTCATCGTCCTCTTCATCTTCTGTTAGGCAAAACCTGCTTCTGGCTTTATTTGTCGCTTACAAAGCGCAGAGCACCCAAACAACGGAATTACAGCGTCTACTAGCACACAAACGACGACCCGCCCTGCCACGCCTCCTCCTAAGTAGAAGCGATATCACCAATATTAAGGATGCCTACACTCGGCACTGTTATGTCAAAAACTCAACAAGTCGTCTCAACACAAAATGCCAACAAAAACATGATTTTCAAAGATGTCAGAAAATACAAAAATAAAACTAAAAAAAATTTACATCCAAAAAAATGATATTCCCATTTCATACTATCAAGAAAAGAGGCCGTAAACACACTCGGTATCCTTCTGAGACAAAATTATAAGGCACTTTTTTTCGCAAAAATTTGAACATTTCTAGACACTTTGTAAGATGATTACCTGAATTTAGTCCCATATTCGCACGAGATGGAAGAGGCAATTTGAATGTCAGTAGAAACTAGGAATAGAAACACGTAAGTAATTCAGCGTTTCTCATCACCCTGCAAAAAGAGATGACACGCGTTACAGGATAATGGATAGGTGAGAGTTACCTTTAACAGATGTGTTCTTAGACAACTTTTTCACTGACAAATCTGGACATCTTGCGGGAATATCTGAAATTTGAGTTTTAGCTATCGAGCATAAACATTGCATTTAAAAAAATTGTAAAATACCGAATCAACTGAGATGTCGTTATGACACTCGTCTCCGACAGCTTTTTAAAGCTGTTCATATGCTTGACTATTCTTTCTCGCCGCAAGCGATATTTCCTTTCGACTCCCAAGCTGAATAGTGCACTTTTCATCATGTCTCGGATTAGGTAAGCAGCTACCTGGTCGATTGATAGTAGTTTTGCCATTGCGCTGGTATCTTCTTTTTTTAAACGTTCCAGGAGTACTTCGACGCTTGCATTTCTCCGCGAAAGAGACCGTCGAAGCTTACTAGATGATTTTTGTGAAAATAATCACGCAAATTGAGCTCCTAACTCCACCAACCTGTGCTATGTCTCTGCGATATTGGTGGTTCTCAAGCTTGATACGTCCCATTTCGACCAGTACTTCCGGAATGGCTTCTTCAACCATGTTTGGTATAGGTAATCGAGAAATTTCTCGCAAATTTCGTAAGCCGGATGATCTCTATTGACGCTTGGTCGTTACAATCCCGGTAACTTGCGTAAGTATTTCTCTGGCACAAATGGGATTCCTCTAATGGTTCTATACCATTTCTTGACGTGGCGACTTTCATATTTCCCCTTCAAGTATTTTGTTAATCCCAATGAGTTCCTGTGCCTTATCCAAGCACGAATGAGATGAAAAAGACACCCTTCCACTGATGAGGAATGAAAACGTCTCTCGGCTGCCCTAATTGCCGCTATTTCGAAGTCAACTATGATCCTTGGTGGAGCCATTTTCGGGTTAATTGAATGCAGCTGGCAGTGGATTTTTTCAAACACTTTTTCATACGTTTCTTGCGTTTTGTTGCGCATGAGCGCGTATGCCAAAGGAAGCTAAAAAAAGCCTTTCAAGACTGATGAATGACAAACAACCTTCTCACTTCATGTTCATTTTCAAGGCTCGCATGTATTGTGTACAATTGTGCGTGATCACCCATTTTCGCCGGCAAGATTTTGTGTATACCACCCAATCAAGGCCTTGATTCCCTGCTCACACGCCATCTGTAATCTCAATTTCATAACGCGTTCATATAATTATGATGCGATGTAAGCACCCACTCTCAAGGTGTCATCAGAAAAGTACAGATGGTACATTGGTGTTAACTCCTGTAGAAATGCAGCCCCATTCGAAAGTTTTGCATATCTCTCGGGTACACAACTCCAGTTGATTGAATGATCCGTGTGACATGATTTCGCTCTACAAGGGAACTTTTCCATTTGTTCTCAATACACAAACGGAAATCCTAACCTTTGTATACTTTTACGGCGTGTGGCTAGTCCTCTTTGATAGAAGTGGGCTACCACTTCTTCTCTTGATGTTTCCTCAGTCATTGCAACTTGAAGTGTATTTTCCCACACTTCCATGACAGAAGTGGATGCCAATTCGGCAGTGTTTTTGATTTTCTGACATGCCTGGAATCGGGTTTCCCAAAAAATTGATTTACGCAATTCCACGCAATTAAAAGCGAATGCTTCTAGGAAAGGTTATGTACCTCGTACATGATTCTATTCGCCCTGTCAAGAGAAGCATTTATGGGACAGCATTTATGATTTTTGCAAGGGTCGTCATAAATTTCGTTTCCCACAACCTGGAACAACAAAGTGCGGACAAAATGATAGATAAGAAATTTTTACAAAAAACATCATGAAACCCCTAATTAAGCCGTCCTAGCGCGTTGACACCTAATGTCTCCATTCATTTTGACTTGTGTTCATGCAACTTGATATACTTCCAATTTTTCATCGTGCACTATACTTTAGACCGAGTCCAATGATTATTCGATTATTCAATTCATTCGAACGCCGATGATTCGAAAATTCGAATCATCGAAAACCTAAGATTTCGAATATTATTCAATAGTCGAATATTTCAATATTTTGATGTTTGAATGTTATTTGATATCCAAATATTCGAAAAAATTTCGAATCACCTTAAGTATACTATGCACCCTCTTGGAAAAACGTACGTTTTCTCAGACAATTTTTGCGGATACTCGCGCTCATGGCCGGCTGGGCGAAAACCCGTGCCGGGCCTGGCCCTGCCATGCTAGTACGGGCCAGCAACGGTTGCAGTGTGTGCAGCGACCCTGTCACTCGGACGAGCGGGACAGCATGTATACTCGTTTTCTGACGAGCGGGACAGCGTGTATACTCGTTTTCTATGTTGGCCCGCTAGCATATTTGGGCCACTCTAGGGGTGAGCTAAGATACTGAAACTCGTTGCCTGCAATCCTGGGCCGATGCAACATGTCTGAGTCGGCGCCGTTTGCAAGACTTCTTAATGCCCAAAGTACAACAAAGGCCGTAAATATTCATGCCTCAAGCGACACCCCGCGGTCCTGCCTACATTCTGGTAGACTCGAGTCATTGGCAGTGTTGAGCAAGAGGTCAGGCGCAATCAAGTCCTTCAAAAACGACCCCCCCCCCCTTCTGTGAAAGCCCTAAACGACCCTCCGCTTCACCTCCTCCTTAGGGTGTTATATTTTGAAGAAAACCAGCCTTCATTGCAGGTTTCTATTTTTTAAAATCTGTAGGCCCGATTTCTGCGGTTGCATAACCACTCGCAACTTGACGGCAAGTTTTAGATCTGGATAGTCCTCTTTTCAAAGCTATAATTCACAGAAATGGAGTGTTTGGCTTCAAATTTTCAACATAGCAAGAAGTGGCTTTGCGCTCAATACTCATATCAAAAAAGGGGCGATTTCTGAATTTTAAAGGCAAGTTAAGAGGGTCAGGTGCAACCCCTCAAAAGCTTAGGCGGTCTGACCTTTTGAGGGGTTGCGCCTGACCCCATTGTAATTCGCTAGTTCAACCCTTGAAGATTCCACAGTGAGTGATTGAGCTTGATTCGAGTTGTTTCGGCCTTGTGCTAATCTGAGGAGTCGCAGCACTCAACGTGAAAAATGCGCCGATTAGAAACTTGGCAGCACTTTCTACTTCACTGTTTGAAAGCGATATGAAGCCCGATTTCTAGCATAGACTTGTAGAGAACATTATGTTATGAGTATACAAAGCTGACTTTCATCACTTCTGCAACCGAGTTGATCACGCTTGAAAATCACGCTTTCTAGACGTTGAGAAACACTAGAAACTGCAGTAGGTAATGGTTTGTAAAGCCCTCCCCCCTCAGTCTTACCTTCAATACAATCCCCCAGGTCGGGCGCGCCTGACCCAACGCTCAACCCTGGTCATTGGCAACCCCCGCCCACTCTCTCCCCTTACGTCGAAAAGGATTAAAATCAGACAAGCTTTAGCACTACTTACCCTTACAACCATATGATGGTTATGTTTCTTCTTGCATGCTCTGCAGGCGTACACGTCACTCCTCTGGTTTCTTCTTTGAAAAATGAAGACGTACGACATCCTAGTCTCAGGGATCCTGTAGCGAATAATGGGGTGAACTCCTTTCTGGCTGACGTCCTTTTCGGCGATGTAGCGCTGAAGTGACGTTGCTGCTTCACTTGGCATGGTCGAAGAAACTAATATCTTCCCCTCCACGTGATTTTTGGAGGGAATTATTGATAGATTTTTTGATGTGCGATGTTTGATCTCCAAGATCACACGCTCTTTCAAAGTTTGTACGGGGCTGGGAGTTGCCACAGGGGGGTAATCGAGCATGCTGATTGCGAATACAACATTAGTTTTTGAAATCGTCCACTATTTTTATCGATTTTATCGATTTTTTGCAAAGTTTGAGCTACGGGGCTGGGATTTCGCACAGGAGGATAACAGAGCATGCTGATTACGAATACAACATTAGTTTTTGGTATTACGTGATACTTTTATCGATTTTATCGCTTTTTGGCAAAGTTTGAGCTACAGGGCTGGGAGTTTGCACAGGGGAGGGTAAGTGGGCATGCTGATTTCGAAAACAACACAGAATGCGAAAAATAAAAATGCTCCCTTGAATGTTTGTTCGAGAATGTGCTTTCATATCAGCGAAACGAAAGCATAACTCAAAGTACTTTCGAAATGGGATTGTCTATTTTGTGCAAATATCGCACCCAAACAGGTTCATCTATTGAGGAGATGGGCTCACAAAGCTAGAATGATACCCATGAACTCCGAGTCCGTCTACTCTGAACTGAGACACGGGGATACGACACAAATTCCGCTGAACTCTAGTGAAGTTCTGTGACTATTTCGACAAATTGTGAGCAGAGTGGCGAGAACGAGAAAATTTCTGCTGATGCAGCACTATGAGAAATGAAGATAACTGTGACTCATGTAAATCTGTAAACTCAGCTTTGTTCCAAACAGACGAGTTATTCCAGAATATGGGAACAAGAAGCGAATGCAATGGTTTAAGAATGGAAGGAAGTGGGAACTAAGGATCTCTAAGCCTTTTGGAAATGGAAAGAAGATGATTGGCCAGAAAGCCATATCAGTATACTGCGTAAAGATTCTCTTACGCATAGAACTATTTTTTGGATTTGCAAAAATTTATCTCAGTGAGAAAACCGGAATATATCAAGCACGTACCAGCATAGGGCTCGGAGCAACCCATTCAAAGCTTCAACTACGGCGTTAATAAACACGCAAATTTCGTCCGGCAATACTTCAGGGGAAGGTTGTGGGGGCTTATTAGCGTTCATTTAATCATTGTCTAACGCCAGTGATGACAATTCACCATTAGCGATGGATACCACCTTTGCATCGTTCAGGAACCTATACATGATCGATGAAAACCGTGGCCACGATAAATGCATAGAAAATAACGGACTTGCCATTCGGATAGCAGCGGTGAATCGCTCCAACACTATCTTAATGAGTGAATCGACAACAGGAAAAGAAAATAAAGATCCATTCGACACGAAGATGCAGCCAACGATATAAGCATACGACACGACATGAGCATAAGTTAGTATCTCCAGCAGCATAACTCCTACAAGATCGTGTCTCAGTAAAAAATGCGTGGATAATACTAACTTACCAAGATGTGGTATTTGTCAGCGACCGACAGGTATTGAGACAAATTCTTTTTCAGCATTTCGCACGACAATGTTTATTCCTTCGAAATGGAGTATGCAGAAGCTAAGTTTAGACCTAAATCGTTTTTAGAAAAACAAAATTGCCTACGCGAATATATCGAGTATCAGAACTCGCTTGCTGCATTGGAAAATCTCGAAATTACTATCAAAAAATTAGAATCAAATAAATCGTTTAGCAACAAAACTCACGCATCAGGCATGACATCTGGATATTCCGTTCTATTATATGTGAGCAAGTATACGGGGCATGTCAGTTTCTGGTCCTACAAAAGATGAAAAAAAATTTTCAACAATGATTGCGATCTCTGCTTAATTGCACGCATATAATACGCCATTGATAAATGGCGTATTCCTTCAAAGAATGTTTGTACTTACTGTTCGCTGCGAATGGTGATCTAGTCGCTTCGTCCCATTCACACGTGATCGCACGCTTCGTTCGTGCCTAGAATCAAAGGAACTTCAACTGAAACAGATACAGTAAAACAGCTACCTTGTCAGTGGCAACATCATCGGTTGCTGTGATGATCGGTGTAACTGTCTCCAAGCCCAGACAGAACATTTTCAGGCGATGATTGCATGCTAGTCCACTCTTCGCCAGGGACGACGTAAGTAGCATTGCCTTTCGTGAATTCTTGAGCAGATGTGAACTTCACTGCGTTGAGAACCTTACATATGTACATAAAAATATGACTAAGAGATTACTCCAAAAAGAAAGCCTCACAAGAACAAAGTCCTTAAAATATCGGCTGACGTGATATTTGTTTGCCTTTGCGGTAGCTGGTTGTCCTGTTCAGATAGGGAAGCACGCGCATACTCAGCCTTGTAGACTGGATATGCGCGTGCTTCCCGAGATAGCTGTCCTGAAAGCAGGAGAAACCGGATCAATAAAGAGGTTATGAAGAAATAAGTAGTCCAACCAAAACTAAGTTCATCAACTATATTGTCCAAGTCGAAAAAATCGTGTGATTGAGAGTAACTGGCTATGCTATGAATGTGCGAGTTCACAGAAAACGGAAGACATAAGAGCTTACCCAAAGTGATGAGCATTTACTAGAAAATGACGAGCAAGATTAGAAAAGGAGCGTAGTGAATGGCAGCTATTGATCGGGAAGACCTGCGATTTGAATTGCGCGCAGTCCGCGCTAAAACGCAGAATAACCGTTCGGAGACATTACGCAACACTTCCTTTATCCGCATTGAGAAATTTTCGCGCGTTATTTGCGCGGAGAAGCGGCCGCCGCGCGCGGTGTGACTCCTGACCCGGAGCCGACCAATCACAGGCGTGCGCTAATTACGCTGCCCGAGCTAGCGGTTCTAAAGGGCCGGCTCCCCTATTGTCCTACTTCTGGCGGCTGTATAACACTCGTCCCTGTTGGCGACTAACACACAAGAGTAAATGGCCGCGATAGTAGCGTATGGACACACCATGGGCTATTAGGTAACGTCGAGATTTTCACAACAAATGAAATAAAGGGCTCATGAAAATCTCTCTAGGCAAAATTAACATACAGACGTTTTTACTTTAAAAACGTTGCAGTGCGTTAATGAGCTATCAACACACTGCGAAAATCTACGGCCCATGCCTTTTTTTCTAGATTTTCATACTGACCAGGAAGTCTAAATAGCGGTTAGATAGGGTAGCCCTCACCTTCCCATAGCTTGTTATAATTATTTGATAAAATTATTATAAAACCACCGATTTTTTACAGGTCAATTATATTGTTAGACACAGACACATCGAACAACACATCATCCAGATTTGAAATTCTAAAAGTGGATTAGATTTGAAAGTCGGTTCTGCTCTAGCACTGACTAAACAAAGCAAATGAGCTTCAGGACTCGAAAAATCAAATTTCGAAATTTCCTATTGCGGCCTCGAGCCCGTTTAAAAACAAATTATGATGATTTTATCCCAGAATGCTTCACAAATCGGAAACAAAAAGAGACTCGCTACAAAGAGGAGAAACATACCCTCGATACATAGAGCCATATACTCTGGTGACCTTAACTTTGAGGGCAATGAAAAGACTCAACCTTCACATGGAAAAAACAGAAGTTATTCGGGCCTCCCCCTCTCCCGTTGTTATAATCCTGACTATATCGAAAAGTTGTGATTGAAGCAAATGCAGGAAAGAATATTTCTAGATTATCTCAACGAAACCGAGAATTTGCAATTTTATTGCCTTTTACGCTGAAAAAGGTTTCTGTGGAAGTTTCTCCAGAATTCAGGACAATATTTCTCAGTTAAGCTCTTATTTGACCAAAATTAAGTGAAAGTGCTGGAGTTAAATAAGAACGAAAAACTTTTGAATCTTGCGCAGAGGGCCGCGCAGAAAATGCTGGTCTACCTCGTTGGTGAGTGACTTTCCACGTTTGGGACGTTGTCAGCGCTCCCCGTCCTGTTATGACGTTCAAGATTATATATGATATTGCAGATTTCGGTGAGACTCCACGGAGTTCTAGGACCAGGGCCAAATGCCCCGTCGGCTCTGGTCTGTCTCCGTGCTCGTCTGTGTCTCCGCGGGCTGCGCCCTACCTCGCTACCCCAAACGCGGGGCGCGGGGCATTTCGCTCTGTTACCCTTTTTTTTCGATGTTTCGAATCCAATTTTAGCAAGCTACATATTAGGGTGTCCCGAAAGTTATGTCGCGCCATTTTCAAAAATTCATAACTTCTGATTTTTTCAACCGATTTGAATGCTTTCATTTTTGTATGAAAGAGTAAACCATGTCTTTATAAAAACATGTTAACTGCTTGCTAGTGATCATCTGTTGCATAGACAGAAACGATAGAAGAAAATTAGTCAAAATTCGAATTTTCTGTGTAGGGTCATAAATAATCGGAAAATTGCAACAAAAATTGGTGCAGTAGTTATCATAGGTTATTTCACCAGCTCTTTCTAACAGTGCAAAGTTTGCGCCGATTGAGCGTTATGAAAAGTTACGGTTTTCTTGAAAAATGCCAAAATAAATCAAATTCGCCCTTTTGTATTGCTTGCTCGAGAATCGTAACTTTTCATAGAGGCGCTCAATCGGCGCAAACTTTGCACACTGTTAGAAAGAGCTGGTGAAAGAACCTACAATACCAACCGCTCCGATTTTTGTTGCAATTTTCCGATTTTTTATGACCCTTCACAGAAAATTCGAATTTCGACCAATTTTCTTCTATCGCACCACCTTACCAATGGTCATCTATGTAACAGATGACCATTAGGTAAGCAGCTAAGATGTCTTTATAAAGAGCATGGCTTACCCTTTCAGATAAAAATAGGAGCGGTCAAATCGGTTGGAAAAAGCAGCAGTTACGAATTTTTCATGTGCGACAGAACTTTCGGGACAACCTGATATTATATTGAAACTCTTTACCTCTACTTTCACGCTGACAACTTCTCAAACCACATTTTCTGATTTGAACGAGAAGTTCGACAAAAACTTTGTTTTCGATAGTCCCTTGTTTTCTCCATAGTTTAAATCTTTTCACGCAGTTTCTTCGTGCATTCTATAGATCGCTTCTGTTCATAATGCAGACAACGACCCAGTGCTTATCTTTTTGGTTATGGCGGAATTGTTTGTGAAAAGTCGTAAAAGTGCGCTTTTTTACCTTGTTCTTTTTCAGTGCTTTCGCATCGATTTTTTCCCAGCTTGGGCCGTGTTGCTCAGAACAATAAGCGCAACAATCCAGACAACGTCCCAGGAAACAGGAACGTCAATGCGGGGGTAAAAATTCAAGTACGCATCAAAAATCAAAACCCTGTGTTGCTAATTACTGGTCCTGGAGCGAAAACTTGCACTTTGAAAAGCCGCCATATGAAAGATTGCCTTTCTGCAGCGTTTTTATTCAGCTTACAGCGGTTTTTTTGCTATATCTGTTTTACGTCATTTTTTCTCCTCTGATCTTCTTCAAACAACCTTCACTATTTATGACGTCAGATGTTCAAACAACCTTCACTTTTGGCGCCCTGTCTCTAGACTATCGAAGGTATGATCATTATTCATGTTTTCGAAAGCCCTGGGTGTATCCGAAAACTCTGAACATGATTTTTCTAATTGTAAACTATTTTTGCGTTTTAAAATTAGTGCTAAATCACAATAATATCTTGAAGTTTTAGATTCTGAAAGAATTAGGCCGGTAGTAAACCCCTCTCAGCGCAACTCGGATGGGGGCGGACCTACGTTGAACGTAGACCGCCTCAGTCCGGCATCCGGTGAGCTATTGATTTGGTTGCTAATCGCTTTCTAGACATGGAGATCTTGTGTATTCCCAAAAACTCAATACTTCGGGCAAATTTGGTCGAGCGGCTAAGTAGGTAGGTTTTAACGCGCAAGACATGGTTCGATGCCGGCTAGGGGTAGATTTTTGCGCCACCACGGACAATCTTTGATAGCGGCCGCCATCGAGAAAAATTGATGGCGACCGCTATCAAGGATATTGCCAAGCAAATAAAGGGATCACATTTGCCATATTTTGACGAAAATATCACGAAAAAACGAAAATTTTGTAACATAGAGCAAATGAAAAAATCAAAAAATCCTTGTTTCATCAGTTTTCGAAGGAAAAACGTAAGCAAGCTCTAAAAAAATCCAAGAAATCTTGTTTTCTTGCTTTTCTCGCCGCAATCACCTGTTCAATGATCCTCTCCCATTTAGGCCTTCGAAATCGTGCAGTTTTGGGAGTTTTGCACCGCACCTGTGTGGGTATGGTCAAGTGGATAAGGACTGCAATACAACATTTATTTATTTATTTATTTTATGCATTCAAAAAAATGCTCCTGACAAACGTGGTTAGTGCAGAAAAAAAAAGCGAAACAGAAGAAACAGCCTATGGAACAGCCTATCATGGGCGTCTCCAGTGGCTAGAATAGATCCAAATTTGAAATCAGCAAGCAACCCACTAATTCAACAGCATAATTCATGCTGTGAAAGCCGTAAGCGAATCACTCTCAAGCGAATCTAAAGAGGAACACCAAACCGAATGGGCGAATCCATGCGTGCTCGGCGGAGGACCTCTTTCAGCTTCCTCTTACATCGCTATCATGAGGACAAGCAAAAGTTGAATGAAATGGGATAGCTGGAAAGAGATATGTAAACGATTCAAAGTAGTTTTTAAGCAAAAACGACTACCGGAGACGAGCTAAGATATGAGTTAGTGCAACAGTTACAAGAAAAGATTCAAAGTTCAAAAGCTCAAATATAAAAGCAACCTTTGCAACAAAAAGGAGAACTTCTATTCACTCTCAGAATGTAGCAGAAGAGAGGATAACGATTGCATTAATTTTACGCTTAAAAACGTTTGTAGATGAAGCCTGTAGCGCAGTTTCTGATAACAGTCCAAGCCATCTGGAGATTCTGTAAAACAAACTGTTTAAAACCCAACGAAAACGCTTCCTGTAAATTCGTAAATAATGAATGTTGAACCCACCGTTTCTGTTTGTAGGTCTGAAAATCCAGTATTTATTTGGAGCAAGTCTTAATTCTTTACGCAGAAGTTGAAAACCAAAAACAAGATCAAAACACATTCGTCTATGTATAAGCTTTTCATTGCCAAAGATTTTAGGCGACTTTAATAGCTCGGCATATCGATGAAATTAGTTTCTTACGACATCTCAGATACAAAATACGAGTAAAAGTTTGTTGGACTTTTTCCAGCTTCAAAGTATTTTTCTTCAGAAAAGGGTTCCATGTTACGGAGCAATGTTCCAAATGTGGCAAAACATAAGCTCGGTAAAGACATTTGAGAATCGACGGGTTGTCGGTATGCACGTTACGAAAAATCGCAAATAAAACCAAACAAGCTTTGTTTACAACATTGTCAATATGAGTAGAAAAATCTAGATTGGAATCAATCAAAACTCCCAGATCTTTGGCGGTAGAACAATTCCTCAGTCTGCTTCCGTTTATTTCATAGGTTGGAACTTCAAAATCACCAAAATGCATGACAAAACTTTTTTGCAAGTTGATAGGAACGCCTAAAGCCGCCCAGCACATCATTTTCTCAAGGGAAGCTTTCATTGCGCATCTGACCTCGACATTATCAACAGGATTATAAAATCCATAAATTTTTATATCATCTACATACATTTGAACTGTTATATTTGTTGATGTTTTCAAAATGCTAGGAAGCTCGGCAGTATACACCAGAAAAAGCAAGGGAGAAAGCACTACCCCTTGTGGAACACCGCTTGTGCAGTCAAATCGCTTCGAAAACTAATGCCCTACCCGAACCGTCATTCCTCTGTTGCTCAAATAAGATTTCAGCCACTTCAAAAGATTTCCGCTTAATCCAAGACTCTATAATTTTGGCAAAAGTACCATATTATTCACTTCATCGATTGCATTAGACAAATCCATATAAATGACATCGAGCGAATTGCCTCTGTTGAGTTCCAAATTCCAATCAAGAACGGAGTCGGCGAGATTCGTCATTGTTAA